ACAGATGGTTGTGAGCCACCATGTGGTTGCTGGGAATTGAACTCAGGACCTTTGGAAGAGCAGGCAATGCTCTTAACCACTGAACCATCTCTCCAGCCCCATCAATTGAAATTTTAATTAGTTACCGTATCAAACAAGAGCGAACCGCTCCCCGATGAGTCAAGAAAGCATAACAGCCCAGGAGGGGCTACTAAACCATTTAATCATCTTTCTCAGTTGCACAATAAAAAAGCAAAACGTAACAAAAGACTGCTAGCCAAAAAAAAAAAAAAAAAAAAAAAAAAAAGTCAGGATCGCACTATGTAGCCCTGGCTGTCCACCATGTATATCAAGCTGGCCTTCAACTCACAGAGTGGCCTACCTCTGCCTCCTGAGTCCTGGGATTAAAAGTAAATGCCTCCTGCTAGCCAAATTCTTGAGAAAAATAAATATGGAAGAATGAATTTCTAAATATGTAAACCAAAATGTCACAACATGTGCCTAGTTCTCCTGAACTATGTACCAACCTGATGCCCAGTGGAGATTCTGCCTGCCCCTGCAGGTCATTCCCCTGCAGCAGGTGTGCGACTGTGTAATACGCCATGTAAATAGTGGAATCGGACAGTGATTCAATCAACCATTGCTCATCCCAAGGCAGACGAGTGCCTGCAAGACAAACAGGGAAAAAATTAATGTTGAATGAAGCTAAGAGATGCCCAATGGAAGAAGCCACATCTTCAAGGCTACAGTCTAGCAAGTTCTGTTGTTGAGTGTGGGTTGCTTCTATTTTGTTTGTGGTGCTAGGAATTGCACATAGGAATCAAGCACTCATCATTGAGCTATATCCCAACCCTAAAAATTCTACTTTAATAATTTCTAAAGATAAAATACTACACAAAACCAAAAATGGTGAACCTCTGGAGTCCTTTAGTAGAAAGGCCATGGGACTAGAGAGAGGGTTCAGTAAGTAAGAACACTTCCTGTCCACACAGAAAAAGCAGAATTTGGTTCCCAGTACCATGTAAGATCCTGACTACCATAGCCCTGACACTACTGGGGAGATGGGAAAATCCTGGGGCTTGCTGGCTGCTAACCCAGCTCCAAAGTGACAGAAGGGGACACCAGACACATTCCACTGGCCTCCACACATGCACAGGCACACACACTCTGCTCATAAATGTGCCTACTCCTTATACATACACCATTCTCACACACAGACACACACACAAGGTAAGTACATAAATAAGAGACAGATCATACTCTAAAGCCATGTGGGTTGAAGAGGACATACCTAGCATTAGGTAGACTACAGGGAACCACATCCTAGTCTTTCTCATCCTCTAACCAAAACCTATCACTTCCAAATTAGCAAACATCAGAAGAAAGGGGGAAGAAAGAGAAAAAGTGCATTTTCTTTTCTTTTTCTTTTTTTTTTAAGACAGGGCTTCTCTGTAGCTTTGAAGCCTGATCTAAAAACTCACTCTGTAGACCAGGCTGGCCTTGACCTCACAGAGATCCACCTGTCTCTGCCCCCACCCCCACCCCAGTGCTGGGATTAATAGCATGTGCCACCACCACCCAGCTGAAATGTGCATTTTCCATCTAACAAAATCATCCAAACAGAAGTACAGAAACTCTGCTGACCTAAACCATACGTTCTTGAGCAAGCATGTTCTTGTAGCCAGTCTAAGGAAGCTTCAAAATTCTTCCTGCTCTCCTCGCAGAACCTAAGAACAAAGGCCGAAGGGTGTCCTTGCTTTCATCATCCTCCACGGGTCTCATCCCCACGCCCTTAAGGTTTTCCCCATCTTACGTTTCCATGTTCTTCAAACACTGAAATGTCTCCTTCTTCCAGCTCTCCTCTCCATAATCCAGGTACCTGGGGGAGAACAAATGGAACTTGTCTCACTGTCAGAAATGACCACAGGGGCTGACAGAATCATCTTGTGGTAAGAGGGACTAACCACTGGTCACACAGGGCCACGACACATTCGTCCGCAGACCTCGACATCACTTGCTTTTCCGGTTCCATGTAGATAAATGCATCTCCCTAAACGAAGGTGAATAAAGACATGGCAGATGTCACGTCCCATCAAGCCTCCCCTCCCCAGGCTTAGAGTCTGCTTCTCTGTGTAGTATCTGCTTCTGGAACACGTCATCAAATGGACCACTGCACAGGCTACTCATCATTTTAGCGCTTTCTAATCTTATGGCTGAATAGGTGGCTGCTTATGATAACCTTCTATCTTTGTTATTAAAAAACAGAAAAATTTAAAAACTAAATACATGATACCACTGTTTTTAAAATAATATAAACATGAAAAAACCTTATTATAAGATTTAGAATAAAAAAAAAATGCAGCTCCAAACAGAAAACTGACCACAATTTATTTATTTTTGGTTGAGGCAAGGTTTCATTTAGCCCAGGCTAGCCTCAAACATGGTATGTAGCAGAGGATGACCTTGAACTTCTGATTCTCCTGCCTCTACCCCCAAGTACTGAGATAGGTATGCATCATCATGTGGACTCAAATGATTTTATGGGGCTGGAGAGATGGCTCAGAGGTTAAGAGCACTGACTGTTCTTCCAGAGGTCCTGAGTTCAAATCCCAGCAACCACATGGTGGCTCACAACCATCTGTAATGAGATCTGGTGCCCTCTTCTGGCCTGCAAGGATACATGGAGGCTGAACACTATGTATATAA